CTGGTCTTTGCTAGGAGGTGGAGGCTGCCAGTTGGTCAATCAAGTAGACAACTCCATGCAACTGAATCAACCAGTGTTCTATGCCTGTAAGTGAGACACACCCCGGATAAAATGCCCAAGTCTAACGACTCATAGGCCTTTAATATCTGATTATTGAATTATCGCTTTTTTTAGAAATTTAAAAAATAATAGCTGCTAATGCCAATAGCTTTAGGGCTCTGCAGCGAACCACTAGAGGAGATATTTAGGGCATTTGGGACTTTTCTTTTGCAGCTGTTCTCATGAGGGCTGATTCTATGTTAATTCTACCTCCAGCAGTCTGGAGGCTATCTACATTAAATCACCAAGAAGTAGCAAATAAACATACTTTCAAAATTGATGTTCCTTTTAGATTCTTTGAGTTCTTGTTTTTAGGATTAGCAGCAGGAAGAAACATCGTGTATTGAAATGTTTCTTTTCTAATTGTGCTTTTATAGACACAGTTGGACAAAATGTCTGGTTTTCTTTGAGAAAGAACCATCAACATAAACAAAAATGTTAGAACAGTTTCTTGCATTTTTGTCATTATTTCTGCTCATTAAAGAGAAAGGGCCATCGACATCATAGGTTACACTCTAGTGGCCTGTGGTTAGAATTTAGAATGTAGATACATTTTGTTTGGCCAGCACAATGTTACAGCAAGCAAACAAATGATGTTTAAAAACAAACAAACTCTGATACTAAATGCCTTTTCAGGAGGCCTGGTGCTCAGCAGGCTTTTATAATTTCTGTTACTTGCATGACTCTCCTAGGTATTTGATTACACAGCTCCTGGTCTGCGGAGAACAATGCACACATGGCCAGTTGTTTTCCTCTCACAATGAAGAATACTGGCTGCGTGGTGGTAATGAGTAGTCAAAGGGGTAATCAGAAACCTGCAGACAATCTACCTGAAATCATGACTCCTTCTTCCCCTCTGCTGAATTCCCACCCATGCATGACGAATCTATTTTTACAAAAGGCATTGGCTAGAGTGGGGCTCCAACCCCAACTATATGACAGGCTATCCCCAAGGAGGAGGAGCTCTCAGGATGGGTCGATTCTAAGGACTTTAATTGGACCATGGTGCTAGGGGATGATGGATAGGGAGGAGCAAAGCTCGGAGCCCACACCAGGGAAGTTTCTCTTTGGATTCCTTGTTTGGTGCAGCAAGTCGAGTCTGGGCAGCTCCTCCAAAAGGGTTTTTGCTGCAGGCTTCACCTAGCAGAGTTTGTTGGCAATGGGAAATATTCCCCAAGCTGCAGACAAATCAGTAGGAGAGGATGGACTCAAATGCTCACAGCTTTCCTACCCACTTTGATATTTTTGAACATGTAGAAAATTTCTTTCTAGGTATCTACTAACACTTTTATGTCAAACTTGCCACATAAAGAATGGTTCTAATTCACTCCCAGCCCATTGTTTCCACCACAGCGGTTCACTTTTATTGCCTTCGGACCAGAGATTCTGTCATACATTATCTAATCCTCTACCCCAGCCCTCACACCACTCTCCCCAAAAGCAGAGCAAGGCACACCAAGAAATGGTTAATGGATTGAGTTCATCCTCAGTTCCATTATTTCAGACTTACAGGTTGGGCTGTAGAATCTCAGACTTCCTTTGGCACATTACTGCTAGTGGTGAAAGCTCAGAAGTAATAATAGTCTGGATTAACTGTACATTTTCAAACCCTAGAAACAAGCCCAAGTTTGTGGTCAGGGCTTCTATTTCTGCCTTCTTTAAAGGGTGTGACAAGAGTCAGATCGGTTCTTGTCTTAATCCTTTAAATCAATGTGCACCTGTCCATAGTGAGGACACATGAACCGTAGAGACCTTCTGGATTCAAATATGGTGGAAAGGAAATGAGCTGGCTTCCCTTCTCAGTCATCATGCACTGTAGTATCTCACCCTTCCAGGGCTCCTATATCCTGTGCTCTTGACATTGGGAACATAGTTAAAAATAAGGATGTACTATTTTGTTTTGTTTTCTTATCTGTTTTTAAGACTCTAAAACACCCAAGATTTTGGCATTAATAACTTTACACCAAGATCTTGTTTGAGGGTATAATTTTTTTTTTTTTTTTTTTTGAGACAGAGTCTCACTTTGTTGCCCAGGCTAGAGTGAGTGCCGTGGCATCAGCCTGGCTCACAGCAACCTCAATCTCCGGGGCTCAGCGATCCTTCTGCTTCAGCCTCCCGAGTAGCTGGGACTATAGGCATGCGCCACCATGCCCGGCTAATTTTTTTTTTGTATATATATTTTTAGTTGGTCAATTAATTTATTTCTATTTTTGGTAGAGACGGGGTCTTGCTCAGGCTGGTTTCGAACTCCTGACCTTGAGCAATCCGCCCGCCTCGGCCTCCCAAAGTGCTAGGATTACAGGCGTGAGCCACCGCGCCCGGCCCTGAGGGTATAATTTTTATAACAATGTCTGCCCAACTGTCTAGACTGGACAACAGTGGAGTGATACACGGTCATTCCTCAGATTCACATATATTTTTGCTACAATACCACCCAGGTTGTGGGTATTCTGACAGGTCTATAAGAAAGGAAGTTATCACTATTTGAACATAATCACTTCACTGATAGGTAAACTTACATATTTGAACAAAAATAAACATCACGAATGGAGGCCATTCTGGTTTTAATCTTTACTCCTTCTCCTGGGATAGTGGGTAGTGATGTATCTCTCTGTTCATGGTGACTAGGACAAAGCCGCCATCTTATTTTGAGTGTTAGGGTTTTCATTCATATGTCCATACCTTCTCTTCACCGTCATGCAAGAGATTTACTGCCATTAAAATTATTTTGTAGACTTTTTGCTGCTGATGTTCCTGCTTCTCACAGGCACATTCACATTGATCTCTTCTTCTTCCCTCACCCATGTGGCATGCATGGTCACCTTCTCAATCGCCCTGTGTGTAGACTTCCAGGGCCCTGTTTTCTCTTTGGTCATCTACTTACTGGTGCAGGCCTGGGCTCATCTTAGACCCCATCGTATCCATTTGTATGCTGAGTCTGTAACCTTATTGGTGACATCTTTCTCTCTCTCGGGTCACACTTGTCATGTACTGGTTATTTCATTTCTTTAGAAGGTGTGATGCTGGCAAGACTCACCCCTGCTGTTTCAGCCATGAGGAGGTCTATTGCCTGAACCCCAGCGTGATGGTTAATGTTATGTGTCAGCATGACTGGGCTAAGGGATGCCCAGATAGCTGGTAAAACATTATTTCTGATTTTGTCTGTGAGGGTGTTTCCAGAAGAGTAGCATTTGAATCAGTAGACTCAGTAGAAAAGATCCACCCTCACCACTTTGGGCAGCTTCATCTAACCTGTTGAGGGTCCAAATAGGACAAAAAGGTACAGGAAGGACAAATTTACTTTCTCTTCTGAGGCTGAGACATCCATCTTCTCCTGCCCTTGGGCATCAGAACTACAGGTTCTCGGGCCTTCACACGCTTACACCAGCAGTGCTTTGGGTTCCCAGACCCTTGGACTCAGACTGAATTCCACCACCAGCTTGCCTGGTTCTCCAGTTTGCAGATGGAATGTCACGGGGCTTCTTGGCTTCCATAATCACACTAGCCAATTTCCATAATAAATCTCCCCTTACATCTCTCTCTCTATCCTACTGGGTTTGCTTTTATGCAGTATCCTAACACACCAGTATCCTGGATAAAGAAAATTCAGCTCTTTTAGCTCAGCAATTTTTTTTTTTTACCATAGAATACTAGGTAATTGGGATGTAAATAAATGTAATACAAGACAAAAAGATATGCCCTATGTGTTAGAATTAGGTGTTTCTATATGGAGGACCTTTTGGGGACATTTACTCATTCATGTATTCACTTGTTTTTTTTTAACATATATTTGATGGCCCTAGAAGAAACCATCAATTCCCTTCCCAGATCCCCACATAGCCCCTTGGTCCTGTGTGCCCACGCCCAGCTTCTGTGTGCTTTGCTACCTACTCATAGCTCTGCCCTCCTTCAGAGCTTTGCCTGTGGCCACTGAAGCTGCTTGGTCCCTTTAGAGAGTTGAAGTGCTGGGGAGTTTATGAGTCACCAACCCTTCACTGGCCTCTGCCACCAATGACAGACTGGTGTTGCAGAAGGGGACATTCAAAAGACCAGCTTCCTTGCCTCAAGAAGAAATAAACTCTGAGGTGCCATTTATGCTTCAGTGCACCCACAGGACCAGGCTGAGACTGCCACTGCACCGCTGCTTGGTTTCTTCCTCTTCTCCACGCTGCCTCCCCTCTCCCTTAGAAGTTTATCCTGGAAGCATTTCCTTAATAAATCACACACACCCACATTTTTGGCTAAGGGCCTGCTTCTAAGAAAACCTCATCTAAGACAAGCACCTTCTATGTGCCAGACACCGTGATTGTGTTCTAGTGGAGGAGACCGTGGTGAACAAATCAACCAGTATGAGGAATACATTTTAAAATGCCATTAGGCATCATGGTTCTGTAATGAAATATATGGTGTGTCACTCAGGGTCCTGGAAGGAAATTGATGGCATGCTCAATGTGGATAAATTGAGTACAGTTTATAAAACTGGATTGTTTATAAAGGTGTGGGCAGGGTGTAGGGAAATCACAAGGGATAGTGCAATACCTCAGCATTAGTACTAGCAGGTACTAGCAAAGAGAGAGAAGTCTGCAGACTGAAGTTGTGCTCTTTTGATCAAGAGACAGAAATGGACCAATGTGATCCCACAGGAAATCCAGGGAGAAGAGGGGCGGAGTGTGAGTCTGCAAGGGTTAGCGAGCTTTTTATCATATTCGGTATGTAATTGTCAAAAACTACTTGAATATAGAAAACCATCCTTATGGACCCGACAACTCATGGAGCACTGGTGTTTTCTGTGGGGTTCAGTCTGGGAAACACTGTTGGAGAGCACCATTTGAAGATAACCCCCTTGAGAAACACAACATCTCTTTGTCTATGGACATTTTCTGTTACAAATATCCCCCTCCCACTGTCTCTGGCCAAGTCATTGAGGTCATAAGGCCTATTATTACCATGCAACAAAACTAGCACCACATTAAAATATGACCACTCTTGAGCTCACCTGTATGTGGGATCTAAAAAAGCCAAACTCATGGAAGCAGAGAGTAAAATGGTGGTAGGCAGAGGCGAAGGTGAGTGAGGAGGGGAGACGGAAAGATACTGGGGTACAAAGTTTCAGCCAGACACGAGGAATAACTTATGGAGCTCTATTGTACAGCACAGCGAATATAGCTAATAACAGTGGGTTGTATATTTGAAACATCACTAAGAGAAGTGGATTTTAAATGTTCTCACAACAACAAAAATAAGTGTATGAGGTGATGTATCTGTTAATTAGCTTGATTTAATCAGGCCACAGTAGACACACGTAACAAAACATCATGTCGTACACTCTAAATACATACAATTTTGTATTTGCCAAAAGTAAACAAATAAAGAGCTTATCAGGAAAACAAAATAGGGCCATTTTATCTAGCTACTTGGCACCCACCGCCCTTGTCCTGGATCACCTTGCTCTTCCTCGCTGCGGTCTTTGTTCCCACTTTGACTCTGGCTCCGGTTCTCCTCTCGGGCTCCCTGGGGGCAAGATCTGCTGGGGTCTTGTGCACCCCGACCTGCAGAACTGTTCTCTCAAGCCGCGGTCCGGCCCTGTGCGTCACGCGGCTCTCCCCGCCACTAGGGGGCAGCACCTCCAGCCCAGGGCGCAGATCCCAGGCCCCCACCCCCACCCCACCCAAGGAGGCAAGGATTAAATCAGCGCAGTTTCCAAAGCTCCCAGCTCGCAAGACCAGCTGCCCATCCTAGAGAAATTTCGTATAACATCTTCATTCTTTTAGGTCTTTCCTACTCACTGGGTGTGGGTCCCCGAGGCACTAAAAGGCATACGTGTAATTAGAGGGGAGGTTATGTAGTTTGCAAAGAGGAGAACAGTTGTTTACTGGCGTCTAGCGACTCTGTTGATGAAGCTGAATTATAACAAGCCGTGTTACCTTACTTCTGATCCCACAGCAGGTTAGGAAGAAGGGAGGGGTCAGGAGACAGACAGCAAGATAGCCAGGGAAGAGGTGAAAACAGAAAAAGAAATGAGAACTCAGAAAACAGCATTGCAGGCTGCAGGCAGTTCATATACAGGCCCTCAGCTCCGTAGTGGAAAAGAGTATGAAAACCGTGCTCAGAGCTCAGCAGTTTCTCAGCATTTGGTTATTCTTGTTTATGGGACCAGAGTTGATTTTTAAAAGGAAGCATCTGAGTCTTCCAAGACAATGGTTAATGTCAGTCGTTGTACTCTGTATAAGAAGGCAGCAAAGAATGTGATGGACCCTTTAAAAATGTTCATCATCATGGTTAAATAGTAATGGTTAATATTTGCTGAGCACAGTGAGCTGAGCACTGAGCCAAACACCTCACCTAATCGCCTTTAAGCCTCACAATAACCTACAAGGCAGGAACTACGGGATCCTCATTTTATAGGACAAGAAAGCAAGGTTTGGGATGTTGACTCAGGTGCCTGTCTGCAACACTTCTTGCATATGACAGAACCAGCTTTGGAACCAGATACAGATGGTGGAGCAAGCCCAAGCCTTGGTTCACTATCTTTATCCGTAAAACCCAATAAATGTTTTAGTGGTTCAAGGGTCACACCGTCAGCTCTCTGGGGCTGTCCCTTCATCCACAGGTCATGTCTCACAAGTGAGGCAATACTGTACTTCTTAAAATAGCTAGCTTGGAGAGGATGTTCCGATGTAACCGGATACAATTTCCCTATGATCTTCTATTTCACTAAGATCTTATGAGCAATAATGAGATTATCCAGGTTATATCTTGGGTTTCTCTCTAAAAGAACCACAAAATTACATTGCTGTTTAAAATATGTTTGTATTTCCTAGTTATGGTAGTTAAGAACCAGATTAATTTTAACAAAATTAAAAATTACAGATGTCATGGCAAATTAAAGATAATACTTCTAAGAAGCAAGAAAAATATGCCATACTTAAGAATGCAAATAATAAAAAATGACTGAATTTAAAAAAAAAAAAAGACATACAATTCAATCATCCTAAATGAATGAGAATTGATTCAATTCTGCTTTTAGGAATTATTTGAGGGTAAAGGTAATCCACACGTCCCAACCCTTAAGGCAGGTCTCTTGTCTTTTCTGGTCTACTGGCTTCTCTGCAGCCTGTCTGCCATCTCAGGAATGTAGAGGCCTCCCCCCTCCCTCTGCAAGAAGGCACTGGAATGCCCAGGACAGAACCTAAACAGCTGTTGAGAGATCTGGTTAAACATGTCATGACCACTAGAGGGAGGCAGTGAGGTCCTTATGCTTCATTCTGTAGGATTCAAATTTGTTTACGCAGGGGTCCTCAAACTTTTTAAACAGGGGGCCAGTTCACTGTCCCTCAGATTGTTGGAGGGCCGGACTATAGTTTAAAAAAACTATGAACAAATTCTTATGCACACTGCACATATCTTATTTTGAAGTAAAAAGACAAACGGGCAAAAAACACCCGCATGTGGCCCACAGGCCGTAGTTTGAGGACGCCTGGTTTACAGTGTCATCATTTTAAGGATGCTTTCATCTAAGAGGCATGCTTTATACTGCCTGGCTGGTGCAGTGAACACCATGCTCTGCAAACCGCAGGGGCACACTTCAGCCCAGCATTTCCATCTCATCAGGTAACTGTGGGATGCCTCACGTGCAGCTCACCTGGCAAAAAAGGCATTTTCTTCTGCTCAGTCTATTCATATGATTTTGGAGGATATATTAAACTCATTAAAACATGCCCTGTTTCAAGAGTGCATGTTGATCACAAACAACTTCTAAAGATCTGATTCTTGGCATTTCTTTTTGAGGGAGTTAGAGTTACGATAGAATAAATAGACAGACAACAGGAGGACCAGGTCCTGGTGAAAGTAGCCCACGCACTCTCCGAACAAGCCACCCTGTCCTGAAGGAACTGGACCATCTAACAGCACCACCTAAAGACTCTTTTGGAAGACTGCAGGACACTCCTTCAGAGTGTGCACGAAGACAGCTCTCTGTAGTTATTCACATAATGACAAGAATGATTACTCTGGGATTTATTTTTCAAGTACCCTCTTTTTGTGACTAAGAACATAGCCCTTGAAGGAATACACTTAATGTTTTATGCAAATAGTAGTGGGCGATTGGAGAAGGTTCAAGATGTTCTTCAACATGGAATAATAAGCAGTCATTTAAAATGATCCTGAGGAGTATATTTATTGATATGGAAGAATAGACGCTATATATAAATTTTTTTAAACATAGGTTTTAAAGCAGTATGAGTCCATTTATGTCTTAGAACATATACTTATAAGCATACATTGGAAAGTCTGAAGGATGTATCCCAAAATGGTTATTTCTGGATGGTAGAATTATAAGTGATATCTCTTTTATGCTCCTTTTTGCTTATATGCATGTTCACATTTTTCTGCCCAACCATATTACATTTGTAATTTTTTTTAAGTTTACCAAAATATGCATTTTATTTCTTGTGCATTTCATGGATTTGTTCAGGTAGAGCCTTCTGATCCTTTTAAACACTATATTCCCCTAATGATACAATTTCCATCCATCTGTCCTTAACCTAGATCCACAAGGCTGAGTAAAGAACTGGCCAGGTAGAATTGCTACTTTCACCTGATGTTGAACTTCTTCTCCTTGCGTTCAGCATGAAATGCCACGTCACCAAACTGTCCCTGGTCTGGGTGGGCCTTCCCCGTAACACCACACTCATCCTCTTCTCTGTCCCATGTTACTCTATTTCCTATTCTTAACCTGCCTAGACTTTCCCCCTTCTCCAATCATCCTCTGCACCTGGTAGGCCCCAGGCCTCAGCTCAGTTTACCCCACCACCGGGCATACCTTCCCCTTCTGGTCCTGCCCGCCAATATCTTCTCCATCCTTTAAGGCTGTGTCCAGTGCTTCTTCACTCAGAGGGAGGAATGAAGCCAGAAGGTATCTCTTTGGGCTCCCTGCTTTTCCCATGATGCCACTTGAGTTCTCAGCTTCCAGCCCTGCCCCACCAGTACAGTGAGCATTTATTAGGCCAAGTGACATAGTTTGGCCAAAAATGCATATAATAAACAAGACTTGGCCTCACACTAACACGTTCCATTAAGATTGAGAGATTATTGAGGAATGAGAATTTCCATGGCATATCTGAGCACACCATTCCCTGGAAAGTCATAGATGAGGTTTGTACCATCACACTCAGGGCTCGGAGTACAGGGCCCTGATGCAAATGGGGCTGTCCCCAGGGCTTGGCAACCTGCACTCTGCTTTTCTTCTCCTCAGCCACACGACTGTGCCTGGCCTCTGTGCTGTCCTGGCAGGTGGACATGGGGTTCCCAGGGCAGTTGGAAGACAGCTCCTGCCAGGTCCCTGCTCCCTCCACCAAGCCAGTGGGAGGAAGCTCAAGTGGCCCTTGGGACCCTCCCATCTCTGTTTTCTGGCACTGTCTTACAGCTCAACTGGGGAGCCTGCCACTCTCTCTCAGCTGCCAAGCTCCTCCCAGTCCTCTCCCGGGTATCCTTCAGTCAGGCAGAGGGGGTCTTCATGAGAGCCCAGCAGCCAGCAGGGACAGTCAGGAGGAGCATGCCTGGGTGGGAGGAAGGCCAGTCCCAACCCAGCTGTGTGCAGCTGTTCACGGGTCCTCCAAGACCCACCTCTTCCCCACCTTTCCCTCAGTGTTCATGTCATGCCCCCCTGCCTAGAACCCCCTCCCACCTTAATTCCATCTCAACTCCTGTCCACCCTCCAAGGCTGGCTGTGGTCTCAGCTCTGGTAGGAGTCTTCTTGGCCATTCCCCACCCCCAGAGCATCTGCCTCCTTGTACCCAGCACCAGCTCTCCCTCCCATTCATCCCGTCCAGGGCATATGCTCTGAGTAGCACTCGGGCTTTGCAACCCGGCCCCAAGGCCCCAGGCTGTGTGACTCTGGGCAACTTACTTAACTGCAGTGTCCTCAGTTTCCTTATCTGTAAAATAGGCATAATTGTTGTACTTACCTCGTAGGGTTGTTGTGAGAAACAGATGACTTGAGCAATAGTTTCAGCTACATAGTAAGAACATACATGTTAGCTTTTCTCTGTTTAGCATGTATTTTCAA